AATGGGTGGGTAATAACCCACCCATTAATGACCCATTTATCTTTAATAGAAACTATACCCACCCATTTATGGGCCATTTAACTAAATGGGTGAGTTTGGATGGTTCATTTGGCGGGTGGGTATGGGTGGGCAATTGGTTTTGGGTTCATTTTGCCATCCCTATGGATGGTTCATTTGGCGGGTGGGTATGGGTGGGCAATTGGTTTTGGGTTCATTTTGCCATCCCTATGCAATAGTCCTATAGCAAAGTTTTTTTTGGTTAATTATTCTCAACTGTTTCAACTAGTTTGGGCAGTCAATCGAGCATAGCGCTTAATTCGAAGCTGTAGCATCTCCGAGCTTACATTGTCATTGCAAATGCATTGTCCATCAATCTTTTTAGAGTGACACTATTGTTTGCGTCAAAAGTTGCTTTCATTGATAATTCTATTGAACTTCGGTCGTTTACAACGAATTGCAATGAAAAAATTAGAAAATTACAACTCTTGAGAAACTAACACAGAAGTCGTTTATCGAATCCTGTTTTTGTGAGACTTTGCCTGTGCCGGGAACGCTTTGGTTCGTGGACCGCCGAATCACAGATCGTGAAGGGGGTTTACTGATTCTGACTTCGTTTATCGAAGTGAGAACTTGAAACGATATCTTATTAAAGTAAGATAGTCGTTCTTCTTAAAATCAAGTCAAAGCTCAATTTCAAGGAGTCACACGAAAACTCAAATCTGCTCTCTCTGCACTGGATTGCTCGAAAATATGCTCGATCCTCGTCAGAAGTGACCCTAGGGGGGTATTTATAGCCTCAGGGGTCTGTAACTGCAAAAACTCAACAAACGACGACATTAGTACGGCGAGACAGTGTTTACTGTCTCGGCGGGCGAGACAGTAAACGCTATCTCGGAAATAGTAACCGTCAGGCAGTTTTTGTTTTAACTGCCTTCCCACGTTTCAAACTCCGTTATTTTGGCAGTTATCCACGTGATTTTCGCCCACGATGCTTCCCACGTCTCTTGACAGTTGATGAACACGTGTAGGGCAGTTATCGAGGTGGTTTTGACCATTTTAACACTGTCTCGCTGGCGAAACAGCAAACACTGTCTTTAGCATTTTTTGACGCCTACGGATACCCCCTCCAAATTATTCCAGACTCATTCTTTTATATAGGAGCATGGGATACTTTGGATAAGATAGATTTTACTTACGATCCCTTCAATGCTTGGTGGAGTAGATCGTGTAGAAGAATTTGTAAAATGGCTTTGGCTTTTGATCTCTTCATTCATTAGTCTATTCAGTTCTTTGTAGAATAGCTAATACTTCTCCGGCACTGCGTTTATCGCTTGACCGTTGTCGAGATCTTGAATTGAAGTTGGTATTTCCAGATTGATGCTCGTTTGTCTCTCGAAAGTTCGTCAGGTTATCCTTAAGAATATTCAGATTAATATTCTCCAGAAACTTCCTGTTGAGGGTAGGAATACAGTTTAGACTCGTGTACCCATTGGAGTATTCATGTGTGTAGAAACAGCATATCGAAACAATCGTCGCCATTTCATGATATGAGACAGCTCATACTATCTTGTGGTGCGGGACAGTATATACTGTCTCGCTGTGCGAGACAGTATATACTGTCTCGCACGGCGAGACGGCGAGACAGTGAAGTCTGTCTCGCTTCGGCGAGTCGGGGTTATAAAACCCCGACTTAGGGTTTTTTCAGAGGCGTTTCACGTCGATTTTGCAGCGATTTCTTGGGCGATTTTGTGCGATTTTCCACAACTTTTCTACCTCTTTTCCTCCTCTTTGTTTCCGACTTGGGTGGAGCTTTCATTTGGGGATATCTCACTCGGATTTGATAGGTTTGTTCACCCCCTTTCTCTTTAAAATTCCAAGTTCCTTTAACTGTGACCTTGCATGAATTGCGTCGACGATATTCTGTGCTATTTTGTTCAATTTCACGTTCAAAACCCTAATTTTCACGTTGGGTTTTACTGTAGATCACATATTGGTCATGTCGCCGCGTAGATCTCGAGGTTCTCGAGGCCATCCGACTGTTCAGTCTCCCGAGGGGGCTGCTCCTGTTGCCGCTTCACATGGGGGTATATCTCTTTCATCCTTTTGCAATTTTAAACACTGTATTTCTTCAATTTTATGCGTCAATACCTGTGTTTGTATGCAGATCCTCGTTTGTATCATTTGAGATACCTTCGAGAAGAGCCGGTATCCTCCTTTGAGGGGATCGACGCTTAAAAGTGTTTGTTTTGCTTGGACAAAACACACTTTATAATACACAGGGGCGATTTCATATCATCCCGCATGTATTGAAAGGTTCTGGTATGCCGTTATAATGCCCGTGCATAGTAACACATATCTCCTTTATACATATGGTAGATGAAAAATCGTCACACCTGTTACGAGATAGCGACTATATATTATGGAGTAAGATATACCGTTTTCTCTAAAATTTTAGGACTATACTTACACAGCTTATGTGTATCTCCTGTATCAGTCCATTTTCCTTCCACAATCTTCACCGTCGATGCAGTTACGGGCCAGAGTAGTGTCACTCATTCTTATTATGAGGGGCTACCATTAATCGAGTCTGCTCCTCAGTTCAAGTCAGACGTTTCTTTTACCCTCTCACGAATTTAGATACTGTATTTTGTCAATTTCGTATACATGTACCTGTATTTGTATGCAGATCCTCGTTTGTATCCTTTGAGATACCTTCGAGAAGAGCCGGTATCCTCCTTTGAGGGGATCGACGCTTAAAAGTGTTTGTTTTGCTTGGACAAAACACACTTCATAATACACAGGGGCGATTTCATATCATCCCACATGTATTGAAAGATTCTGGTATGCCGTTATAATGCCCGTGCATAGTAACGCATATCTCCTTTATACATATGGTAGATGGAAAATCGTCACACCTGTTATGAGATAGCGACTATATCTTATGAAGTAAGATATATCGTTTTCTCTAAAATTTTAGGACTATACTTACACAGCTTATGTGTATCTTCTGTATCAGTCCATTTTCCTTCCACAATCTTCACCGTCGATGCAGTTACGGGCCAGAGTAGTGTCACTCATTCTTATTATGAGGGGCTACCGTTAATCGAGTCTGCTCCTTAGTTTAAGTCAGATTACAGCGAAGGGGCCCGAGAATTGGTTCAACGAGGTAGTTGCCGTATTCTACGACGGTTAATCACGGACGCGACATTAATTTCAGAACAGGACTCAAACCAATGTATAAGGAAACCAGACTTCTTGTTTGGTGACTCCATAAAGGATCCGGCGATTGCTTTCTGCAAGCCTGCGCAGTGGTTACACGAGGATGGTTCGTCATTCCTGTACTTGCCTTTTATCCCTCGAGAGCATTCACTGTTAAAGTTCAGGAATTTATCGGTTAGATGTGAGATGTTCTGGAGGTTAACCGAAAACCACAAACGTATTCATTGTGGTTTCATCGGGAAAGAGGCTACTCCAGGTTCCAGTGAAAGAGCTTCTATACGAGGGCTTCATCCGGGTGTCTTAGGCCAAGACAATATACCTCAGAATGAAAAGACAGCGCAGGCCAACACTGTGAAGAATCGTTTGGCTGCAATGAAGAAGAAATTACCCCACGAGAGTTTCAGATGTTATGGATGAGTCCATTATTCTGGGGATAAATGGTGGTGGACCAGAATGACTCGCTATGTGTTGAAACGTTGGGGGCGAGAGTTAGCAGAATTAGGGTTGGAAGTCCCGATCCGTGCCAGCATGCATGGTCTGCAAATTAGTGTAGGTCATTTCCTCCGTTTGTCCGAGATCTATAATCCTGACACTAATACGTTCTTCACCAAGAACGGGGAGCTCGGGTTGCCATTGCACGAAATGATGAAGGTGTCTGGCTTGCCCATAGGCGATGTTCCATATCAAGAGTTCTTCCCAACCACCAGTCAGCTTAATAAGATGAAGGATCGGTCATCTGTGACCCACGAGACTTTATGGGAACTGACTTGTCATTATCATGTAGCTATGGCTGAGATGGAAACCAAAGCTAGGAAGAAATCTCCCCAGGTCAGCTTAAAGCAATTCGCCGATTATCTGTGGAAGAGGTACGTGGATTATCTCCTTTGAGCCCGGGTGACATCAATCGGCTGTTGGAGAAAACAAACGCACAATCTTACACTTCTCATTCAGAAGATGGGTTTTCGCATGGAACTAAATTCCGCTCTTATTTATTTCAAGCTGGTGTTCCAATTCGCCCCACTACTCTGCTGGCTGGCTTTCTGGCCATATGGTTGAAAAGATGTGTAGTTCCCCACCAGTCATCCGACGCTATGGCAATGGAAGTGTTGTATCCAGCCGTCCAGTTAGCCACAGGTCGCAGATTATCCTTGCTTCCTACTATGGTGGCGGCTATTCACAGTAGGTTACGGCAGTTAGTTTCCGCATTCACTCAAGAGAAAAAGAAACCCTCTGCCAGTATATCTGTTCCGAAACTAGAATTACCCTACACTTATTTGATGACATGGTTGGTTCTGCACCGGCCAGATTTAATGGAAGCTCCTGAGACGGTGGATCCTAGTCTTCCTCTTTTACAGACCCTTGAGTGTTGCAAATGGATCAGACATCGATGGCCGGACATAACGAGGCAGTTCAAAATTCATAAGTGTTGGGAATTCTTCCCCTGCTTCCCTCGATTCTCCGGTACGTATAATACGACCTTGTTGGATGCTGAAGAGCCGAGGCAGAACCGTACCATTCTGGACGTCGGGTGCTTCAGATGGTTGATGAACATTCGACCTGGATATCTATTGTTTAGGGTAAGAGATGTTTGTCACATTGAACCTTATCTTCCATGTCGATTCGCCCGTCAGTTTGGCTATGACCAGATATATGTTGGCAACCCAAACCGTCACCTTAGCTTTCGAGGTGGACTTATCGACGGTGCGAGAGCTTGGTTTTGGAGTATCGCCGGCTGCACCAACGCTGAATTTGATCTACCTTTAGAAGCGGCACCTCTACGGATGACCTTCCTGTTTTGCAAGTGGTTGATAGCCGCTAATATCGTCCCTCAACATAGGGGAATATCGGACTCAGAGGAAGAGGCAGCTCCGCAGCAAGCGACAGAGGCGACTCATGAGGCTATGGTGTCGACTCGAGGAAAAGAGGCTGCTGAATCATCGAGAAAAGGAAAGGAACCGGTTCTTCCAGCTGTTAGTGAAGAGGAATTTGATAGTGAGGAAACGGAGACTTCTGAAGAGGCGGGTGAGACTGGCTCGAGTTCTGATGAAAGAGCTGGTCTCCCTGATTCTTTCTTTGAAAGGGGACTTGTAAGACCTTCCGTCGCTCCGGCCCAACCACAAGCTGCTCCGAAAAAACGGAGAGAGAGAGAGTCGTCATGACCTATCCTAATCGGATGACGGTAGACGTCCTCAGTGGAGACGAAGAGGATGAAGAGGATACAGTGCCTCTTGTTCATAGGCAAAGATCTCAATCTTCTACTCAAGTTCAGACTCAAGCTTCCCCCAGAGTTGAACTGCGCACTAAATATCACCATGAGGGTTCTGAAGCACGTCCACTGAAGAGACAGAAGAAAGTTGTCTCTAAGCCACGCGTTCATCTTCCTGCTCTAGAAGAGACGTCTGATCGTAGTGCTTCTTCTGATGAACAAGGTAACTATTTGTCTTTATTGCTTTCACACTTCTTAACGTTCAAATTTATTTCATGCTCAACTTCTGTAGGGAATCAAGAAGAAGGAGAATTGCCAGCTGATGCTGTTTCTCCCGGAGGTATGGAGACTGAGGAGACCAGCTTCGTCCAGCAAATGCAGGATGCTCTGAAAGAATGACCAGCTGACGTTCCACCAACTTCTGACATCGATTCCTCGGCTGCGGATACAGGTACTGATCTTTCTCCCATTGGAAGAGAAATCCGAGAAATGAATGAGTCAGACCGTGTGTCTCCTTTAATGACTTGTGCGCTTGGTCTCCTTTTAGTTAAACTAAAAGAAGCAGGTACAAGTGGTGAAGCTCTCGAATCCGTCCCGACCAACGAAGGTAATTAATCTTTGTCTTGAGCAAATTCGTTTGAATTTACGTGTCATTTACGATTCAACACGTTTTGTAGATGCCACGATGCACGAATCAACTGAAGGAGAAACTATCCATGCTACTAAAGTCGACGATTTTAATGATTTCGACTTTAATCTTGATATCTCAGAGGACGACCACCAGCAAATTCTTGATTCTCTGTCGAGGAAAATTCCTGATACTGCTACAGGATCAGATGTTGGAATTGGTTCAAAAGAAGCAGGTCCTTCTGAGAGTAAGGCCTTGATTCTGTAAACTCCATATATACATACATATATATATTTAACTTGATTAATCATATAATTGTTCGAATTATAGGACCAGTTGCTGGAACTGATACTACTATAATCATTGGAACATCTGATTAATCAGATAATCGTGATCTCGTGCCATGGGCGGGAACTGAGGTTGATTTGCAATCGTCTGTTCTCGAATCTCAACCTACTACTCCTATGGGGTTGATTTGCAATCGTCTGTTCTCGAATCTCAACCTACTACTCCTATGGACCCGATGATGATAGAAGTTACCGTCACTCCCCAGATTAGCCCAGTTGCAACAAAAGCGAGACCAACTGAAGAAGTTGGTACATCAGCCGATGTGATGTCCAGAGCTGGTAAGTTTTACCCATAACTTGTTTCAAATTTCGGATTATCATCCCATTATGCTCATCGTAATCCTTTTGTTTGTAGAATCCCCTCCTAAAGTGCCTCTTAGCTTGGACCCGAAGTTCTCTGAAGTTGAGATTAAAAAACCTTCTGACGTAGCGGGTACATCAACGGCCACTATTCTTGAACCAACTTTGGTTGTTCAGGAAGCCGGATTACCACCCTTGGGTGAACCAAGTCATACTGAGGGTTCTTCCGTCGAACTTGGTATGCTTCCGCTTGTTGTCTTGTATGCATACATATGTTCTGTACTGACCCATTTGCCCTCATTGCAGTTCCCTCATCATTATCGAATCAGATCCAAGCTCTGTTGGTCGACGACGATCCGGATAAGGCTGTCATATGTTCTAATCTCCAAGGCTTCATCCCCTTTTTGAACTCTATGGTGGATCGTATTCTCTTCAAAGGGTCATATTTTGAGAATTATAAAAAATCTCTTGAGCGTTTCATATCAGGATTCAGAGAGGAAGGGTATAATGAGTTAGCCGATTCAATCAACGCTTATTTGGTTGATTTGAAGCGACATGTTGAACTTCTACAAGCTCTTCGTACCAAAGGCATACCCTCCTATATCGCTTCTCGTATGGAATCTGAGTTGCAAGCGTGGCATGATTCCCAAAAATCAGCTAACCTCGAACTTCAAAAGCTAAGAGTCTGAAGTGATCAACTTAGGGTGAGTGTTGGCAAAAGAACACAAGCCAAGGTTAATCTACGCCGGGATTTAGAATCGAGTCGAGCGGAAATAGCTCGCTTAGAGGAGGAACTTGCAATGGCCAAGGATGCTCATGAGGTCTTGGAGTCCGAGTTGACGCAGGAAATTCAGATTGAAGAAAACCTGTTACAGCAGCTGAACCTTCAAGATAAAATACTTGCTGAAAAGGAACAAGAGGTCGCCGCGCTTCACAGTGTTGACGAAGAAGCCTTCAAAATTAAATTGGCGGCTGAACTTGAACATGCTTATGCATTAGAGCTTTCAAAACTTGAAAATCAGATTAGTCAATATAAACTTTTGTAATTGGAGAACATATATTTTTGTAGTTTTGTTTGAACACTTTTGGTCAATATATTGAATCCTTTTGCTCATTGAGGTTTTATTATGATTACTCATTCTTGTTTTAGAATAAATAACCATAATACTTATAGGATTTTTGGCAAATCCTCAGCTATCAACGGATTTGATATGCATTTACCGATTACCGTTTGAGTCGGGCTAGTATGTGAATTATCTAGTTCCGTTTCACATATAATGTTGTGCTAAAAGAATTAAACTTTTTTAGACTTTAAACTACAATGTTGAATATGTAGGCTACATGTGTTAGATGTAGGCTTATCTCTGATAAGGGATAGAGATAACATCCCCCATGTGTGAACGACATGGATTTTAAAGTGTGAGTAGGTTGCGTTTCCTATATAGGCCAACGAGCCCGAAATCGGAGAGGAAGAATTTTATATTCTATCTCATGGTCTCTTGTTTGTTGGTAGAGATAAACCCGAAATCGGAGAGGAAGAATTTTATATTCTATCTCCTGGTCTCTTGTTTGTTGGTAGAGATAAACCCAGAATCGGAGAGGAAGAATTTTATATTCTATCTCCTGGTCTCTTGTTTGTTGGTAGAGATAAACCCAGAATTGGAGAGGAAGAATTTTATATTCTATCTCCTGGTCTCTTGTTTGTTGGTAGAGATAAACCCAGAATTGGAGAGGGAGTTTTGAAACGATCCTAACTGTAGGAAGGTTTGATCGTTTGATCTGTGGACCTCTCGTTCATTTGAACGAATCGAGAGGGGATTTTGGTTTTGGTCCTAACTGTTTAAAGGTTTGACCAAGTGAGGAATAGGAGTAGAGTGCAAATAACAATGAGTTTGTTGATTTGCACAAACTACTCGGTGGGAAATTTTGATTTCAAACATAAGAATTTGACACAAAATAATTTGTTGACTGATACAGACTGATGACTATTGGTTGATTCGATCAGTGAGGGTTTCATGGTGTGAGATTACAAATCATCGAATCTCCTCTTCCATGATCACGTGACAGGGTTTTGTGAGGAAAGATTAACTATCATTAAATCTCATCTCAACAAAAGTTGTAAAAGAACAATGAATTATTCAAATGACCAGCTTCTCATTTAAAATAGTGAACTGATCTCGGGTTATCCTGAAATATCCTATATAGGATTCTCTAGGAACTTCCCGCTTTACACAGGTTATCCTGAATATATTACGGATAATATTTTTTCAGGAACTTCCCATTTATTGGCATCATTAATTTGCTGCCATCTTGGGTAATCAGGCGGTAAGCGCCGTTTGAATAGACTGTCTCTATCACGAACGGTCCTTCCCATTTAGGTTCAAATTTGCCTTTCTTCTTAGAAGTGAGAATCATAGGTCTTCGAACGGCGAGGACCAAATCTCCTTCTTTAAAACTTCGTTGTCGGACCTTTTTGTCAAAAGCCCGGGAAATTCTAGCTTGATAAAACTCGATCTGTTGTTGAGCTTCCAAGCGTTTCTCATCTAACATCTCTAATTCCTCGAGACGTTTCTGATGATATTCTTCCGTCGTCATTCCCGTTGCGAGAGCGATACGGAGGGAAGGAATCTGTATTTCCAATGGAAGGACGGCTTCACACCCATATGTTAAGGCATACGGGGTGGTTCCGGTAGGCGTGCGGACGGTCGTACGATAAGCCCAGAGAGCTTCGCCGAGTTTGTCGTCCCAATCTCGTTTAGTTTTGCCAAAATCTTGATAATAGTCTTGTTAAAAGCTTCGGCCAATCCATTAGCTGTAGGATTATAAGCAGTCGATGAAACGTCCTTAATCCCGAATTTACTGCAGAACTTGATAAATGCGTTGCTGACGAATTGAGGTCCATTATCGTGCACTATTCGCCTCGGAACACCGTATCGATATATGATATGGTGTTTGATAAATTTGATCACATCACTCGTCTTCACCTCTCGAAGTGGAACTGCTTCTGCCCATTTCGAGAAGTAATCGGTGATTGCTAGAATAAAACGGTCCCCTTTGACCGAAGGCGGAAAAATAGGACCCACGATATCCATTCCCCATGTCTCGAACGGCCACGATGTCGCCGAAGGATGTAGATGTTCAGGATGTATGTGCATATAATTTGCATGTAATTGACACGCTTGACATCGTCGGGCGTAGTCAACCACATCCTTTACCATAGTCGGCCAATAATATCCAATTCTCCTAAGTCGGTCACAGAGTTTCGGACCGGGTTGATGTGCACCACACGTCCCCTCATGCGCCTCTTTGAGTGCTTGTTCTGCTTCTTTGCCGGATAGACAACGGAGTAAAAGACTATCGTATGATCGTCGATACAACGTTTGCGCTGTGGCGTTGTAGTAAAATCTCGGCGCTCTTCGCCGGATCGATTCCCTTTCTCTTACATCTTCAGGTAATATACCATGTAGGACGTAGTCGATAATGGGAAAACGCCAATCTCGAATTTCAGGTTCAACTCTTGTTGAGTATGCTTCTTTAGCATTTGAATCGTAGATTGGAATAATAAGCTGGTGAGTCCTCACTGTAATCAATTGTTCTGTTTCGGGAGGCTGAGCCAAGGATACCGACAACGCCGCCAATGCGTCTGCATACGCGTTTTGGAGACGTGGAACGTACTCGATGAAAAATTTTTCAAACGAGCTTGTCATTTCGATGGCCACCTGGTGGTATGGAATCAGGTCATGATTTCTGACTTCATACTCTCCTCGAACCTGATTAACTACCAGTTGAGAATCTCCAAAAGCTTCAAGGTATTCGACCCCCAGCTCTTTGGCAAAGTTAAGTCCGATTATCAATGCGTTGTATTCGGCCACGTTATTAGAGCATGGCTCGGTCATCGAATATGCTCTAGGCAAGACATGCTTTTCCGGGGAAACTAAAACGACCCCCACTCCTGAGGAGATTTTAGAACATCCCGGTGCACTTGCCACGTTGGTTGATCGTGAAGCCCCGTCGAAGTATAATTGCCACACTTGTTGATGTGAGGTGGTATTAACTTCGTGAGTTTCGTCCGGCAGATCATCGTAAAACTCGGCTATATCTTTTGTAGGGTTTACCGCTTTTGT